TTTCAGTGATTAATCTTATAGTCTGTAAGTTTTAGACATATATTAAACATCTTGTAATATTGTCATTGAATATAATATAAGTGTTTTTGTGCATCACTGAAAAAGATCCCTGAAAAAAGTAATAAGGACACAAGTCTATGAGTTCCAGTGTTACTTTTTACATTCACTAACAATCTTTAAGTTAGTGAATAAGCTTTCAGTTTCAGTTTTCATCCTTTGTAACTTTTCTTAAATATAACTTAAGAAAATTCTCCAAGTAAAGACTAACTCAATGAAAAAGATCCCAAAATAGTTAAAAGGGACATGTACTTTATATGTTACTTTTTCTTACTATTTGATAAGACAACTTTCTTTATGTTGTCTTGTTATCATCAAATAGGAGGAGATTGTTGATCCTCTCTCTCATTTGATTTGATGATAATCCCTTTTACTATATGCGAAGTATTTATGTTTCTGTTTTAAGTTCCAACGATCATCACTGAGTCTGTTTAGTGATCACTGAAGAACTTGTATTGTAAATCCAATCAACGACAACGATACTTCAAGAAGACAACACTCACACCAAAGAACCTTCAGCGAAAGTCGAAGACTAGAACTGAAGATTAGAGACTGGCGAGTATGTAATCTGAAGTGGTATTAAGTGATTACAACCTTGTCTACATATGTGTGAAGACTGCCCAAGCCTCAGCGAATGCTGAAGAGACCTTCAGGTTATTTTAACATTCAGCGATCAAAAGAAGCTTGTTGAGCACGATTATTGTTGTCTTGTCCTTATACACACAAAGGACAAACCCATACCCTTTCTAAACGTTAGTACGGTACGGAGCTGATTAGTTGACTCTATTACCCACTAACTTTATGAAAGGATGTCTGCTCATGAATAGGCTTTTATACTATTCACTGTAGCAAAGGACAAGCCTTCCCCTTAAGGCTTGACACGTGTTCTAACCCTACCATGTTGCATTAAATGTGCATTTAGTGCAACAGGTATAAATAGATGTGTTCTATCTCCATGCAGGGATACTCTTAACCCTTACTCTAAACTTACTTACGCTTAAGTAAAAGAACACGCTCATCTTCAAGAGCAAGTTAGAATCTCTTTGTTGTATTCAAAACAAGTTCTCTCCCAAATAAAACTTACTTTCTTCTATTTCTTTAACTGCAAATCTTTTCTTTATTTGCTAAGAATTAGTGTGTAAACTTTAGATTATTTAGATAGGTTTGTCGACCTTAGCCTTCCACAAAAAATCTTGCAAACTCTGTATTGATCTTCTCATATCAATACATATTTTAAATTTGAAAATTCTATGTTTGTATTCATCCCCTCCCCCCATTCTACAAACTTTTATATACATCTTGTAGACCCTAACGGGACCAACGTTATCCCAAGATTCTGATAAACATTCCAGAAACTTCGTTAAAGTTTCAGAATTGGAATATTTTCTGGCGACAGTCCTTAAATCGATAAGAAGACAATTAAACTGTTGGAGTACTTCAGACAACGTCTCATTCTTTCCACATAGAAAGCTTTCGTATTATCTTACTAAGTTAATCTTTCTCGATTTTTGAACGAGAGGTTCCTTCATATTGAACACATAGAGTGTCCCACATGGATTTCGAGGTTCTAAGCTTCATCACAGAGTGATTAAACCTCGTCAGGAAGAGACATAGCTATTATAGACCTCGCACGAGTGTCTATATCTATCTTCTTCTTGTTTTCATCACTCCATTGATGAGGGAGCTTAAGAATCTGTCGTTCAGGAATCGCGGCAGTCGTCGCTGTTTCAAGAGCTACCGGAGAAATAGCATATGAAACATATGGTCCTTTTTCTATATAGTGTGGAATTTCAGGATCCACACTTTCCAGAAAGAGGGACATCCGATTCTTCCAAAGACTAAAGTTGTCTCGGATAAATCGGGGAGGTTTGGAAACAGAGCAATTATCATGTAAGTGTGTGTTTGTGTTTTGTAAAGCCATTTGAAAGCAGTCAATTATCTAGAGAGAAAGAGATAATAAAATGTAGAAAAACAACTAAACAACAAGAAAAGAAAACACTGCTCTGATACCACTTGTTTGTCCCGTAAGAGTCTACAAGAGTTTTATAGAAACAGTTTATAGAAGGGGGGATGAATACAAACACATGAAACTTTTCAAATTTAAAATGTATATTGATAAAGAAGGATCAATACAGATTTTACAAGATTGTATACGGAATAAGATTAAGTAAAGATAACCTAACTAAAATAATCTAAGTTATACACAAATGATCTTAGCAAAGAGAAAAGATTTGTTGTTAAGACTAAGAAGGAAATGAGTTCTTCCTGGGTAAAAACTTTTTAGAATACTTAAAATGGATTCTAACTTGCTTTGAAGATAAGCGTAAGTGTTCTTAGATGTGTGTGTGATCTCTTGTGTGTATGCACGTTGTTTGCATGGAGAGAACACTCATCTATTTATACTCATTGCATTAAATTCACATTTAATGCAATGCAGTAGAGTTTGAACATGCGTCAAGCTTTTAAAGAAAAGTTTGTCCTTTGCTACAGTGAATAATACAAAAGTCTATTCATGAGCAGACATTCTTTCATGGAGTTGGTGGGTAATAGAGTCATCTAATTGGCTCTGTACCGTACTATACTCCAGAAAGGGTATGGGTTTGTCCTTTGTGTGTAGAAGGACAAGACAAAAGCAATCTTGAACAACAAGCTTCTTTTGATCGTTGAATGCTGAAATAACCCTGAAGGTCTCTTCAGCATTCGATGAGGCTTGGGTAGTCTTCACACATATGTTGACTAGGTTGTAATTACTGAATGCCGCTTCAGATCACGAACGCGCTAGTCTCTAATCTTCAGCTTCAGTCTTCGACTTTCGCTGAAGGTTCTTTGGTGTGAGTTTTGTCTTCTTGAAGTATCGTTGTTGCTGATAAACTTACAATACATGTCTCAGCAATCACTGAACAGACTAAGTGATGATTGATGGAACTGAAAGACAGAAACATAATACTTTGTAAAAGGTAAAAGAGATTATCATCAAAGAGAGAGAGGATCAACAATATGCGATATGGGATTTGATATTCTCTAGTTGAGATAGATATTTCCGGGCCCCTCGATAACATAGTTTGATATTACTGCATGGCCATGCACGGTGAATCAATAGAACTAATAGCACTCAAATATGCTAGAACTGAGAAACGTAATTTTTGAACCAAAAAATGAGTTAGATCTATGCCTTAAGTTTAAAATAAAATATCGTGTATGCAAAAGAATAATGAGTGAATTTTTCTATATAATTGACGAAATCAATGAATTGTTTAAGAAAACACATTTCACGTTAGCTTTGAGGGCGGTGAGGTGTTGTTAGACACGTACCACCGTCTGTGTCATTGTGTTTCATATGCAAGTGAGAAAATGTAAGTTTTTTATATGTCCATGACCCTTGTCACACGGTAATATTGCTAAAGAGTACATAGACCTATATGGTCGCATAAGAAAATGTGTATGTTTCAATATGATTTTTTTGGATAACTAGAAACCCGAACAATATCATGTTTTATAATTTATTTTTATTCTAGTAGCATAATTAGGGGTGTAAACGACACGAGACAACTCGTGAGCTACTCGAGATCGACTTGGTCAACACTCGACTCGAATAGGCCCGGCTCAAACTTGAACTCAACTCGATATATTAACGAGTCGAGTCGAGTTACCCAATACTCGAATCAAAAATCTCGTGAGATACTAGATTTTTTATCTATAATTAGTTTTAAAAATATAATCAGTTTTATATTATAATGTGTATAATATAATGTAATAAAATGTCTTATATTTTTAGATATTTGAATAATATTGTGTTTTTTTAACTATAAAAACCAATCAATAATTTTTTTTTAAATCATAATTAGAAAGGCAAAAAAAACTAGAAAAGTGTTGGTGAAGTTGTCTCACATTGGAAGAGAGATGGTAAAATAACGATGAAAATGTGTTATAAAAAGAGAGGAAGGTGAATGAAGTTTGTAACTTTGTCTATTTGATGATGAATTTTGAGATAGATCACTTTAGTTTTTTAAAATTTAAGAGAACACATTTTAAGTTTTATAATTTATAAGAGAAAACCCTATAATTTCATAAATTCTGATGGGTGAGCTTGATTCGTGTTCGATTTCGAGCATGATTCGAGTAGAGTTCGAGCTTTAAACGAGTTCGAGCTCTAGTTCGAGTTTAAAGAATTGCAATCGAGTTCGAGTCGAGATTAGTTTTTAACTACTCGTGAGTTTTCGAGTCAAGTTCGAACATGAGAAATGGTTATCGAGTTCGAGTAGAGTATATTGTAACTAGAACTCAACTTGCATCCTAAACATAATTAAAGTATATGTCAAAAATGTAATTATGAAAATTACATACCTTTATTTGTAAATGAATTTACATATAATTTTATTCAGATAATAAAATTAAATAAAACGTTTTTAGGCTTGATGGACCTTAATGTGTCATTGATTCCCTTGAGGTTTTCTTTTTATGAGAAATTTTCTAAAGAAAATAACCTAATCAAATCAATTTTTTATTTCTCCTGTGCTTTTTATAAGGCTATTTTTAAATGAAACCCTGCATGAGATTATAGAAGTACATTTCAAAAAAAAGAATCAGATTGCAGTTCTATAAAAATTTGTTCATTTGCAGAACAGATGACAATATTTGTACAAATTCGGACAACAATATGAACTGATATAGGGTTCCTAAAGCATTGTGCACTACTCATGACACCAAAAACGATATAATGGGCATCTTCACTCAGAAAAATCACTTATTCTCATTTTTTTAATAATTATAGGTATCCGGATCAGCTTGTATGTACCTTAACTAATCCTATAAGATCCTGGAGGTTAAACTAATAACGAGACAAACAATCCAGGCGAAAGTTTTACCGTTCTTGAGATATGAGACTGCCCAAAACCATCCTTCGACACAATGGCCTCAATACATGTTTCTTTTTGGCAGAAAATGGCAAAATGCACAATTGGAATATAATGTAAGTGACCCCAAATAATGGATGGTGCCCAAAGTCGATATTACAAGGGTACACAAATACAAAAGATGTGGATTTGTGAGGTGTTATATGTTTCAGGAATCTTGGCTAATAAATAACATCTAACCAGGGGATTAACATTCTATTTCCAATGGTCAACGAACCATTTCAACCACCCAAAAATTGGATACCAAAGTACAGAAACCCTATGCTCCACCAGCCATGTCCGTATCCGTGATTCCATCAACGCCCTTAAACGCAACACGCAGTTTTCTCAAGCAAGATTGCCTGTTGTCACCCTTGCCAGCCGTTCCAGTCACATGCACGACACCTTTTGGAAATTTGTCCATCAACTCGAATAATGGTAGGCTGAGGTTTGATCTAGTCATCTCTTCTAGTACTGGAGGCGCCTGCATGTATAGATTTTTCCCTCGGTGTGTCACACTTGCTCCGGACACAAGTAGTTTCGGGTGATCTTCAACTAGATCAATGAACTGTGACAATACGGTTATAGGTTAAAAAACAGATAACTAAATTTGATGAAGGCACTATGAAAACAAACACCAGTAGCCTCCAAGGTGCATTCATTTAAGAACCAATGGATATTCATAATGAATATTCATGAAAATCATCGGTTCTGAGATTCTTAAAATATTTACGGTTCTCAAATATAGTTTCCTACGATGTCTCTAAATGGTATAAGAGCAAGTGGAAAAAGAATTTCAAATATCAAATCTACTGGGCTGCCAGCTAATAACTTTTAGGTCATTGTAGCCAATTCTGAAGCCCAGTGTCGCTTTTCATCCAAATTTGCCTACCCGCTAAGAATACAAGTGTGAATCGCATAAAATAAAGAAATCTAATATAACTTAAAAGAGATTACATTGGCTTCAAGATGCATACAAGGCCTTAAGAAATGTTAAAAAAAGATAAATTATAGAGCAATTTAATGTTTCAAACGCAGATTGCTGAGCAAAATACATGGAGATCTGAATCAAATGCATTATAGAACTCAAGGACAAGTGGACATCATGCCATTAACACTTGTTTTTGTGTTTTTATTCATATGTAGAAGAATAAGTACAAACAATTGAGGATTATTAGACCATTTAGGCTAGTTATATCATGGTACTTCAATAAATAACATTACTTATAGCATCAGTAATCCTATTTCAAAACCTGGCTTCTATGGGTTCATCAACAGGGGATGACTTCCCAAGGAAAATGGCATTACATAACATTCTCCCACTTCCAAATTCAACTTTTCCATCCGTACTCTCCTAATATAAATGGAAAAGAAACAAAAACAAAGAGTCTGAAAAGGGAAGTTTCAATATTGACATAAGTTATACCCATCCTACTAATACCTAATTATCAAGAAGAACTAAATGGACAAAAAGATATAAAGCAGGGTTTGTCAGGACTCAGTTCCTTGATAAACGAGCTTATGACATTGGATATGAGTGCAGAAGATTATAAAGGATGGATGCATTACAAAGATGAATTACTAACTTGCACGATACCAGCATCCAGAATATTCACTCCCAATACATCCTTCTCGGAACGTTATTAAGTAAATGAATGAGTGCACAGGAATTGAAAGTAAGGATTTATAACAATCAATCGCAAACTTACATGATGCAGGTATCAAGCATGCAGTGGGACATCCTTCTGTGAATGTTATCAAATAATTATGGCTAGATTCTCTTTTGCAAGAGTTTAGCTTCTCTCCTACTCCTCATACTTTTTATTTAGTGCAATCGTATGTCTGGAACTTTGTCCTTATATTGAGGGTTTAGCTCTTTTATGTAGCGAACTCCTTGGTTTTAAAAAGTGCGATGCGGTCCAAGGCGGTAAGGGTCCCGGAAGCCGATGCGTGATGCATGATGCGCGTGATGCGCCCGGTATTCAAAAAATATTTATAAATTAATTCTACATATCAATTTCTACCTTAAAAATACTTGCCTATCAAAATACTTCATTTATAACATAAAGTAGTTCAAAAGTGGCATTAGAATCTTAAAAAGTTGGTGAATCAGAATAACAGAACACACAAACTACTACCATGAAGAACACAAGTAAATGTCTAATAGTCCCCAATCCCAAACTAAATGACCAAGTGACCAACTAATACTCCCCAAGATCAGCATCATCAACACGGGTTCATCTCCCTCATCATTATCAAACCCTCCAAAATCTGCTTCCACCTCAACTTCATCAGCTTCATCCTGAAGAGCATGTCCTTTTCCTCTAGCACTTCTAGTTCTTGATAGACCCGACCCATCATCATTTACTCTCCCTCTTGATGCTCTAGTGAAATAAGGAATCTCATACGCCCCGGAAGCTCTACCTATGTCATCCCACGTAAGATCATCATCAATAAACACCAAATCATCATCTTCATCATCATTGTCCATCCTCCCCATCACCCACTCATTACTTTCATCTATGTCTTCTAGAATGATAGGATCACTACTTCCCTCTTTTATATCGATGTTGCAAGGCACGATTGAATTTCACTTGAGAGGGGTTTCTATTTTATTAGGTCATTATTATGTTCTATTTTAATCTACAAAAAGCCCAAATAAAAAAACCTCTAAAGAATGAAAAAGGAGCCCAAACATGAAACATACAGGATGCGCTGATGCACGCATCGTGTGATGCATAGGTGATGCGACCGCATCAAAGAGCATCATGGAATCGCTTCGCATCAGCCCCTCTGATGTGTTACCTCCAGCGCATCAGAGCGCATCACTCATCGGAGTGCATTATGCGCGCATTTTTAAAACAAGGCAAACTCCACTTCATGAGTGAATACATTCATATGTCCAGCAAAGTAGGCTAATCATATCAAGCATTGGTATAAATATAATGAAGATGGGCGTGTTAAGCATCGGACAATTAAGTATTAGTGTAAAAAGTTAGATAAGCCTATTGTATGTATATCGGTACATGTCTTGAGGCTAAAAGACAACCAATCAACTAAAAAGAGAAATCTAGAATAGTAAGGGCTGTAGAAAGCTTAAGATTTCTTATATAGGGTGGTTGGGTTCCTGTGAGAACGGAAGTTATGGTGAGAAGAGTAAGAAGGGATCTCCACCCTTGGATCAATCCTAATGGAAGATCAACAGTAATAAGAGGAACCGAGATGCACGGATCAGTTCTCGTGAGAAGCGCAATTGATGGGGTGGGGGTGAGATAAAAAGTGATCAAGGGTCCAGATCCCTTCTTATGCTTCATACCTTAACTCCTATTCTCATACGTTCCTTTGTCTTCTTATGTATTGGTTACAAATTGCAGTTCGTTAAGGATTTGTAATAAATATTATAAATTTAATGCAGTGATGTTTATTTATGCTTCTGCAAGTCGCATATTTTGGGTATTAGTCAAGACTGTCCCATATTGTGTAACAATTAAGGTTACGGGTGTCAGGGGTGAGAGTGTCACACATACACCCTCATTATTCTCACACAAACCTGTACATTTTCGTCCCCATGGATACCACTGCCCTTACCCTTGATACCTCCATGCTAGAAACTAACCTCAATTACAAAAGCTACACATATTTTCAACACCTCAATTCGTCTTATTTTTAGCACAAATGGAATCTCATATCCAAAGGATCAAGAGCTGTTCCATTATTTCCTCCAAGTACCATAAGTATATGATAAATAGTAGGGAAATTCATCAAGGAACAAAAATCAGCTAATCCTCCTCTAGCCAGCAGGGGTTAATGAAATATAACACGCATATCCTAGGATACTTTCTCACAAACTCCTTACAACTGTATTTGTTTGATGCATCTCTCTGATAACAACACATTTTGAACTAATAAGGTTACCGAACAACAGAACTTATCTCCTACCTAAGAATAAGAACTGCCAAATTCACAAACATATCCCCCCTTTCCCACTAGCACAAAAGGAAACCCTCAAGAAACAAGAGAGACCACTAGCCATCCAAATTATGTTTCAGCTGTTTACTTTATTTTTGATTTTTTCATTACAGAGAATGAGCTAACTGATCAACTGAAAATGGGAGGCACCATGAAGGCCATGACCAATAGTTTGCCCCATCCCTCCCCTCCTTTTGTCATCACTATTAACTGTTAAGGAAAGAACAAACAGTAGGCCATATCATTTTCTCACAATGCAGATCTCTGCCTTTTGCTAAATACTGTTGTATATATCAAACAAGTTTCCATTACTTACTCTCTAATGTCCCAAAAAAACGGCAACCAAAATAGACAGATAATAAATTTACCATTTTCAAGGTGACCGAAGTGTCCAGCTCAATTAATATGCCAGGACCACAAACAAGACAGTCTTTGTCCTTTACAAACTCTGTGACTTTAGTATGGAGGCCCTCAACACCATTATACCTACAAAATATCACAATACAAAATTAGGAAGCATTTTGACTGAATAAAGGAAGAAACATATTGAAGTCTCATTCTCCTTACTCTCTCCCAACTCCCCTCTTTTTGGGTGTTTTCAGTATTTCCAGGAGTGCATAGCTAAATAGCTATTCTTTCAAACTAGGATGTTGTGCTCTACTTGATTTACTGTACAGAAAGTGTGACTAAAGCACAGTGCTACAAACAAATTCAGCTTGCAATATGATTAATTGAGCATATGCAGAGCAATTAAAAATATGCTACTAGCAATATAGAAACTCATTAGCAATACAACAGAGTTCTTGTTCCATCAACCTAAGCTGAAGACTTTAGAGGATATGAAATTATTAATATTGCAATAGAAGCTTATAGGGATTTTCGGCTCATGCATAGAATTCTTTGACAAGCATAAATCAACCATCATAAGAAATACTAACTGTATGGAAAAAGTTTATTTTGAGCTTCACAATAATACAATTAACAAAGAGATAGGACCTACGTTAAATAATTTGATAACGTTTTGCTGCATCCTGATGCAATCTTCAAAGTTTCAAGAGCGCATGCAGCTGATATTATCGCATTTGTAGAAGCTATAGCAGGTATAATATTCTTCACCACACCCTGTATTCAACCAAAAAAAATAAATCATGGAGTTGAAACAAGGTGAAAAGAGCCAACTGACCTGAAACCATCATTAACAAATAAAAAGATTGATCCACTAGACATTCACAACCCCGTATCATCAAAATGATGCCTTACAGATAATTTGGATTGAACCATCCAGATCAAGAAATGATCAAGGAACAATTTCTGAAGAATATAGCACATATGCATAATGACATCACTGTAATGCCATGATGAATGAAAATGATTGAAAAAGCTAATATGTTACTTGACAGTTGCATATAATTCTGATCTACCATAAGAAGGTGCCACTAAACCACGAATAAGTATGTTGGAAGTTCAATGAACCATAATCAAAGCAGAGAAGGCAGAGGATAAGTTTAATATTTTAGAGATCAGTTTACCTGTGTCAAAGAATATGTGACTCCTGGAATGCCAAACAGTTCTGCTCTCTTGGCAGCCTGCCGATCAAAGTCAAACAGGAGAGGAGACAAAGAGATCATAACTTAAAAGGCCAAAGTAAAGAAAGTAGCAGAACAATTCTAGCACTCATTACCTCTAAATATACCCACTGCATATGTTCAGGGTTATCAGGATCAAAAGATTTTCCACTATGCACCTGCAATGGTATGTTCAATAACAATTATAGAACAAAGCACATTAGACAAAGAACAAAAGTAAGAGGAAAAAGGTCTTTTGAGTTTCTACAATACCTCATCCCATTTAATTAGGTGAGCGTATTCAATGCAATGAGCTGCGGTTCTTGGAGTTTCTGCTAGCGTACATAAAGGAAACTTAACCTGTGGAGGAAAAAGCCAAATGGTGCACTCAAAGCATGGTGTCATCCCAGGTAAAATAACTCTTGCATGACCCTTGAAACCTTCAGTTCCACCATCTACCATAGGCTTCATAGTTTGTTCTTGTGGGTTGTCATTAGAGTCGTATTCTGGTTTCGCAAAATTGAACAAGAAAATGTCATAACTTATAATTTGCATTTCACACCATACCAAATAAGATGAACCACAAATACATAGGGAATCAGTGGGAAGGCCAACAAACAGAAGCCAGTACATATTCTGAACCAATAGCATATAGAAACCGTAACATCCCGTTCCTGGGGGAATCGTCCTTTGCCCTTAGTACAAGTGAATGAAAGAAACTTCATATCTTAAACCTTTATTTCATTATAATAGAGTTATTACAGCAGCGGAAATGCGGAAATTTATAAATTATAATATTCTAACATCATAGAATAGCAACACCTCTGCTTGTTCCTACTCCTTGATTCCTGAGATACATACATGAATACATAAGCTAAAAGCTTAGTGGGTAGTTATGGTTTCATGGTAAAACATTCTTTCCAAATAGTTCAAATAATTCCTATAAACTATCATGTATAAAAACATTTTTTTTGAGATCTCATGGTTACATGTTAAGTAAACCAACTTCTCACAGGTTCTTTAACTCGGGTCCACATAAGGGTTGCCCATTAAGGTCCGTTTGCAAGACGTACCTTCTTTCTATATCCCATACGTTGGATATTTAAATGGTTATACTTAACATGTATAAAAACTTTCATATACCACATGTGCACCATGACATAAAAGGTGTACTTTGCCACATAATCATAATATAACATTTACACGAAGATATGGCAATACTCTTTCATGCATAAAACATTGATATATATAGCATGTATGTATCCCGGTAAATCTCATAACCTACTCACCTTGATTATGCCTAGTTTTTCCCTTAATTCCTATCTTCGTATAAAGAGAAAGATTTCTTATTTTTTGGTATGGAACTGATTGTAACACTTCAATCACTATTTATAAGTAAATTCATTGCATTAGCTACTTATTCTTCTTGCTCCCATAATTGTACTCTCATGATAGTTTAACACCTCATTTTTTATGATAAGAGAATCTTGACACCTCATGCTTAATATAAAAGAATCTTAATACCTCATGCTTCTAGCTTTTATTTGTCATGCTTCTAGCTCTTGCTTGTCATCATGAATTTTGCCAACACATGCTTCTAGCCTTGACAACTCATAACTAGCTTGCTTTGTCATAAAGAGTAGCCTTGCTTTGTCATAAGATTTTTGTGGCTCTTCTTGTTTGTTTATAAGTAGCTTTGTAAGCTACTTGCCTTATAAATATGATAGTTTAATAAATGCTACAGCTGTTAGACTCTTTTAAGAGTACTTAATTTACTTACATGTATTTAAGGCTTAAACATTTAAATAAAATAAAATAAAAAACTAGGGTGTAACAATTCTCCCTTTCTTATAAGAATTTCATCCTCGAAATTTTACTCAAAAGGATGTGGGTACTTATTCCTCATTTCTGACTCGGCTTCCGATGCTGCCTCTAATCCATGAGAATAGTCCCAATGAACTAATACCAATGATACCTTTTTGTTTCGAAGTTTCTTAATTTTATGCTCAGTGATAGCTATGGGTTCTTCTACAAAAGTTTATCATCAACCGAGATTTCTTCAACCTCGTTTCCATAACATCAAATAAGTCACCAACTATCTTCCATTCCTTACCATTTAGATATATGCAAACTCAAAATATCTTATAACTTGCTATGTCATACTTACATTTCAACTTAGTTTGACAAAATAACATCATAAACTTTATATTTGCGGAAGTATTCTAACAATAGTTCAATAGCCTAACACGTATAATTGCTACTATAAGAAGTATATCTCTTCATGTTGGTCCCTTCATGTCTTACTTTGATCTTACGTGAGATAGTTCCTATTTCACCTATCCATCTAACATTATACACATGTACTAATTCTCCATTCAAGGTTTGTATCTTAATCGTATCTTTTTCAAACACCCGCTTCTGCGTCATTCTTTGTCAATGAAACCATTCCGATATTTTATCACCTTTTTCCTAAGCACATCAACTTAACTAGGTAATTCTTACCCTTTAGATTGATAGAACAATCCTCAAGAATCTCATTAACCTTTGACTGACCACCATCAATGGTTATTAGTACCTTACTTATGTTCTAGTTGTTTAGCTCTTGTATTCAAGTAGTTGAAACAAAGCTTCTAGATGTACTTGAATCGAATAAAACTAGGGTACAATAATTATTGCCAAGAAACACATGTCGGTGATTCCTTAGGCCTCGTCTGCTATCATGACATATGCCTTGTCCTTTGCCTTCGGTTCCTCCTTTTTTTTGTTTTTTTTTCAAATGAACTTCCTTATGTCGACATCTAGACTATTGTTGAATTCTACTCAAGCTTGGGACAACTTGATCTTATATGCCCATCATACAACACTCATAGCAAGTGCATCTTCTTATATTGTTTTATTGAGTGTCATGTCGTAACACATGTGTCGAACCTTATGCTACCTACTTGTCATACCCACAAGTGCCTTCTGTTACACTTATTGCATAAAGGATAACTCAACTCTGATCTCTTGGCCTATTTCTTTAGATGGCTAATTGCTATCTTCCTCACATATTACATCCTTTGGTTATGATTTGAAATCCTTATCCATAACACAATCCTTTACTAGTTTACAAAATTTCAAAAACTGGCAGAACAATTTTCTTATTGTTTACTACTCCTCTATCTTAGCTTCTACCTCGATGTTTAACCTTGGATTCACGTTAGCTTTGGCCTACATAAACACTTGGTTGTATGGCCTCATTCCTGACATGCTTAGTGTTGAATGTTGTTCTACCATTTCTTCTAGACTTCCTTGATAATAAAAATGACAACATATATGTCCCAAACATCTTTTTGCATCGTAACCTTGTATCATAGTTGTATAATACCTTTAATAATAAGTCTGACGTGAATTATTTACTTTTCAATAATATTAACTATTAACATAGTCTGATATTATATATCAAAACATGGCTACTATGATATGGACGATACTGAGTACAATTGAGAATAATACGCTAAATTAGCTAATCTTGATCAGCATGATCATTTAATTGTCATCCCACATACTACTTAACTAGTTGATATTTGATCACCATTTTCCAACATAATAAAGGAAATCTTACTAAAGTATTTCATCGGAGAATAAACTCTTAGTGAAGTACTCCATCAAGTAGTAAATTCTTAAGTCTTAAGATTTTAAGGTTATGCGAGTTTGTAATCTATTTCTCTTACACCACAACTCTTATATTTTAATAAGATCAACACTTCTTACTAATCCATCTGACTACCAATATGAAATAGCTAGGCCGGTATCACGAAAGGTAGGATCTGTTCAGTGCAATTATAATTTGCGACTTCCTTTTTTTTGAATTCAACAACTCCACCGGTTCCTTATCCCATATGGTTATATCGACCAGGTTAAGAAATTAGCGAAATAATTTGATGAAGTTTAGATATATGTTAGTTATTTTAAATATAATGCTTCAATACCCAATGTTATCCTTTTCGATTTAAGTCTAAGTTACCTAATCTAACACAATCTTAGTTCACTTAAACTAATGCTCTGAAACCATTTGTAACATCCCGTTCCCGGGGGTATCGTCCTTTGCCTTAGTACAAGTGAATGAAAGAAACTTCATATCTTAAACTTTTATTTCATTATAATAGAGTTATTACAACAGCGGAAATTTACAACTTATAAATTATAATATTCTAACATCTTAGAATGGCAACACTTCAGCTTGTTCCTACTCTTTGATTACTAAGATACATACATGAATATGTAAGCTAAAAGCATAGTGGGTACTTATGGTTTCATGATAAAACATTCTTTCCAAATAGTTAAAAACAATTCTTATAAACTTTCATGTATAAAAACATTTCTTTGAGATCTCAGGGTTACATGTTAAGTAAACCAACTTCTCAGAGATTCTATAACCTCAGGTCCACATAAGGGCTGCTCAATAAGGGCTGCCCAATAAGGTCCGTTTGCAGGATGTACCCTATTTCTATATCCCGTACATTGGATATTTAAATGGTTATACTTAACATGTATAAAAACTTTCATATACCACATGTACATCATGATATAAAAAGTGTATTTTGCCACATAATCATAATATAACTTTTACAAGAAGATATGGTAATACTCTTTCATGCATAAAACATTTATACATAGCATGTATCATAACCTACTCACCTTGATTATACCTAGCTTTTCCCTTAATTCCTATCTTCAAGCTTGTTTAGGTATAAAGAGAGATTTCTTATTTTTGGTATGGAACTAATAGTAAACTTCAATCACTATTTATAGGTAAATTCATTGCATTAGTTACTTGTTCTTCTTGCTCCCAAAATTGTACTCTTATGATAGTTCAACACCTCATTTTAGAGGATAAAAGAATCTTGACACCTCATACTTAATATAAAGGAATCTTGACACCTCATACTTAATATAAAGGAATCTTGACACCTCATGCTTCTAGCTTTTATTTGTCATGCTTCTAGCTCTTGCTTGTGATTATGAATTTTGCCAACAGATGCTTCTAGCCTTGACAACTCATAACTAGCTTGCTTTGTCATAAAGAGCAGGTTTGCTTTGTCATAAAGATTTTTGTGGCTCATGTTGTTTGTGTATAAGTAGCTTTGTAAGCTACTTGCCTTATAAATATGACAGTTTAATAAATGCTACAGCTGTTAGACTCTTTTAAGAGTACTTAATTTACTTACAAACTCTTGTATTTAAGGCTTAAACATTTAAATAAAAAAACTAAGGTGTTACATAAACCAATCTTTAACACTGCAAAATCCTTGTGAAACACACACATTCACCTTAAAAGAACCAAGCAAAACTTCATGAATTAGGCATTCATGAGCGCAATGAATTTTGACTAAGAAGAAGATCCTTCTTCCCAACATACAAGATAAAATCTTATATTAAGCATTTACAATTATTAGATCCCATTTAAATTAGAGCCTGAAGCTCTGGAGAGCAGATCGAAATGATGTTACCACAATTGATCATC